CGAGCTGAAATCTAATAGGCTCGAATTCGACTCGTTTAATAATTGAGATACTAAATTAGGCTCGAGCTCAGCTGAAACCGAGCCGAATCAAACTTTTCACGAAGCAAAATCGAACAGCTCATGAAAAACTCGACTCGTTGCCACCCCTACAAATATCAATACAAAATTGTTGGTGTTTGGTAGAATTATGTGAGCAAACATTAAATGCACCTACCACCGAAGGCTTGGTGCGTTAAATTTTGGTCAAATGCACCAAACGTCTGAAACAGGTTTATACAGGAACAATATGGAAAACAGATCAAAACCCTACAAAAGACAAACACCATTGTTCTGGAACTCAAACACACAGACGGCTATAGATGGGTTGGGCAGACTTCGGTTATCTGAGTTCCAGATCATGAAAGATTAAGGGAAAACCATTGATCTGCGTCTCCACGCACAATCATAAAAAAACTAAACCATGGTGATGAACTGTGACGGGATCTGCTCCTCACAAATGGGCGCCTCACAGGCACATCCACCATGCATTGGGAATATCTCCCCTACTTATTAGTGAATATTCAAGGGAGATGTTCCCAATGCACGGTAGATGTGCCTGTGTGGCGCCCATTCGTGAGGAGCAGATACCGTCACAGTTATGCCAACCCACCGTCTATATCTATCAGCAAATGCATCTGGTTTGCAGATCCATGTCTCGGCAAACATAGATATCTGCAATGTCTTCATTTGCAGATCTATATAGAGAAAAGAAAATGAGGTCGAAAGTCGGATCTAGTAGTAGTGGTTGAGACGTAGAAAGAGATCGACTATGCCTCTACCGGAGGAGACTTGCAAAATCAGCTGAGCGGAGGAGAAGAAGAGGTCAGCCATGTACAGCGACGACCACGCAGTGGTCAGAGAAGAGAAGTTACTGTTGGTGGAACACTGAGAGCGGCATCTCTCATCCTACTTGATCGATACAATGAATAAGCCTGTTTACTTTGGTTTTCAAGTTTACAGAAATGCACTCTCTTCACGGCACAAACTTATCAGGAAAAAAAGAAAAACATTTTTACTATGTGAACCGACGCATTTGTGTATGGCAGGCACGCTCACAAATCCAAACCGGGGTATATAAATGCCCCGATTCAGTGTTTGTATCGTAAACAAACAGAGCCTAACGTGCACTATAACCAAATGAAAATTCATCATCTCAAAATTGAAAATTCACTACGAGTTTATAATTATAATTAAAGCCTAACTCGTGCTTATGCCATAATTCCCCTCACTCTATTCAAGCGAGTTTCAGCCCATGAAACTCAGTCAACTTTTTATATAAATAAAAAGTTTAATACATCAGCCCATGAGGTATCTCAAATAGCTAAAATACACTCGTCTACCTTTTTTGTTAGTTGTGATTATCTACAAGGGATATCCAGGTTTGAAGACTGTATTTCCATTTCCTCTTGTTAATATAGCTTTTACTCTTAAAAAAAAAAAGAAAACTGCCAGAAATATTAAAAAGTTGAGATCCATTGTAGAAGATTTCCACGATGAAACAAAAATACACGTTGAGCAAAGAAAAACATTTTTAAATGAGTGATAACGTATACGTATCTGGTTTTTAAACCGACTGATACGCCTATCTATCAGTGACCTTTCCAGGTCCCCGTTAAATGACGATTTTGGGAGGTTGAACAGGCAAACCTCCTGGTTCACTGGTAAAAACAGGACCCATAGACCATTCCGGTTTTTACTGTGGTTCGGATCTCAAAACATTGCTTCAAAGGGGATATGTACCTCCAACAACCAAATAATTGCAACCTTTCTGTCTCCTCGAACCCCTGAGTTACTGCAATAATGAAGTGATGATTTTTGCTTCCAAGAGGGAAAAAAAATGTTACATAGAAAAGTTTGGCTGTCCATGCATTGGAAATGTTTGCATGGCTGTTCATCCATTTTAGTGCATATTTTGAAAATTTAAAAAACAGTTTTTTACTTTTTTTTTTTTGTTTCCTATTACATGCTTTAACAAGATATATTTTAATTTTAAAATTAAGAGCATGTGTCGTAGCGCAGCAGAAGATATGGTTTAGGAAAGTGAAAATGCGCCTGGACAGCGTGATCTGAAAGATGCTTTTCTTTAAAAAAAATATTTATATATGGAAATTTCCACGCTTAAAAAAAAAGTATTTCCTAATTAATTTCATGTATCTGTTTCCAGCACTTCTCATACAACTATACTTTTATAATCAGTAGGTCCAGTACTGATGAATTGATCTTCACAATCACAGAAAACATATTATATGAAATTAACAAGTAAATTCTATGCATGTTTCTCTTTCATCACTCTGTGCTCATTTTCACGTATTTTATCACATTGAATGGTCAAAAAGTTTTCATAAACTTTAACAACAAAAATAAACAAGAAAATACACATTTCTACTATGGGTGTTCATGATTCGGTTGACCAAACCGTGGGTCAATATTTTAAACTGAACCGATATTACCAATTTTTTTAATACTGAAGTCAACCAGTTGAACGGTTCAATTTTTTTTTTACATTTATAATAAATGCTATAAATAAATATAAAATATAAAAAAAAGAATATATAATATACATATAAATATATGTATTCCAATTGGTTCAGTAACCATCGATTTGATTCGATTCTTTATGATCACCCCTAGTTAATTTCTACATGAAATTTTATTAATTCCACTCCAGCTGTTGTGGGAAGCATACACAGATTCTTTATACACGTGATGACAGATTTATACATGTGGGAAGGCTCATTGCTTTATGGCCACGTAGAAAACAATTATTTAAATTAGGTGATGACTGATAAGAAGCAGCCCACAAAAAGAGTACATGAGCCTAAAACAGCCACGTGCCTAAAAGGGAAGAAGAGATTAATTATGGGCCGGATTTAAGATAAAAAAGGAAGATTAAGTTATTGATGGAATAGAAGAGAATGAAGAATGAAGAATGATGATGAGAGCAAAGGACAAGTGGCAAGATATATTGGATTTGGGTGAGGGGAGGAGGGGTAACATCCCAATCCCATTTGGAATGCTGGGATGGGATGGGAATATAATGTGTGATTTGGGGGAATAACGAGGAATGACACCTTCGAGGTTCGCTTCGAATAAAAGGCAATTAGCATCTTCCAAGTTCCCACTGGGATTTAGATTTATCATCTATGGGGAATGGGGAAATAATAGAAATAGAATGACATGAGAGAGTAGGTAGGTTCCACCTTCCACCCCTCAGAATTATTTGATCAGTGAATTGGGCTAGCTTTCTTGGCAATCCTTACCACTTTCACAACATCTACCCACCAACGTGAAGAATACTCCCTTTATATCTAAGAGCACGCATGATCTTAATTAAGAGTTAAGACTAAAGAAGAAGGAAACCGAACACAACTAAAGTTGATGTGATGCTTATTTATTTCACTAATTCACTAATGACAAATGGAGGTGGAGGAATCACTGGCTTAAAACGAGGTAGTGTGGAGAATGCCTTAACCAAAGCACGTATTGTGCATGCACATAAATACCCCCCCAATTCTCTTCTCTGTGTCTGCCTACCTCATGTCTCATGCTATCTTTATGTCCCCGCTCAAAACTTGACACCTTTATTTATTTAAGTGAAATATCTGAACTATTATTCTATTATTACCCGAGGCTCCTAATTACTATTTACACAAGATCCATGTACCAATTACCATGGCATAACCCTTTTCACTTTAGCGCAGCGCAGCGCAGCATCGAATTCTGATGCCGTGATACGGCCCAATTAATCTGTTAAACCGTACAATTAACAGGTTACCCGCTCCATGCCTCCGTCACTCCATCTGCTCTATCCTCTATATATTGGAATGTTAGGATACCCTACCCACTTTCGCTTTTGTTTTGAGCCACGGACCACGGTCCATAGCCCCTCCCCATCCGTCTTTTATTCTTTGGTGGCAGTGGGCCAGTTGCACAGGCCACAGTCTCTTTATTAGACTCAAAAGCCATCATTTGAATGAACCAAATCCCCAATATGGGTGTTTTGACGTAAATGGGCTCCCGAACCCAAACTACACCAGTCGGCCTAATTATCACTTCAAATCAAAAGGACAAGAGTAAGAGTAAGATAACCTGTCTACATTTTGATTATGTTTGGTTACTTGATGTTTAACGCTACATAGGGGTTGATATTTAACGCTTAAAATACTTAAAAATATTTCGATTTATGTGTATGAGATATCGAAGAAACAAAATGTTTATATTTAAGGTGGAAAGTAATTTTATGGGATGTTGTTTAAAATGCCTATAAAACACTCAACCAAACAATAAAAATAACAAACATTTTTCAAATAAGCGGTAAATAAACGCTCACAAAAACCAAATGCATACTTTATTTATAGTAATAGTAGGGAATAGAGGCGGACCACGACGAAGGCAGCAAGTGAGTAAGCACCAATGAATGATACAACGACAAACCCGTCCCGGAAAATCCAATTCCATTACGTCCTTATGTTTCCTTTTCTCATTGCGCATTAATTTAAAGATAAATAATAAATCGGCGATGCCTGGGCAAAATATGGTCCGCGTGAATCCTTTCTCTTTCCCTGTTAGTGTTTCCCCTCTAAAACCAGAACTTATATCAGAAAGATAAAAAAAAGGCGAACGTGCCTCATAAGTCATAATGCCCCCCCACTTTCTTTAAAATAGGACAATTACCCCACCAAAGATACCGCCAAACTTAGAAGAGTTAAAGATCCACCGCTAAATTTAGCGGGATTCTGGAGTAAAAGGCAATGTGTGGGCGGTGGCAGCAGGGCCAATTGCCAATTTGGATTATCATCATCTTCATGCCCATCCCTGATTTGGGTTTGGGCAACAACTGTGGATGGATATAATTAGGGATCTTAGTTGTTAAACCCGTCTTCTTCAGTAAAACCCATTAAGCAGTACTTAATTACCAAGGGACTATAGTACCATACCAATAAGGTCTTGCTCAATTGACTACAACAATAGAACATTAATAATATTAATCCTGTATATATGTTTAACAAATCACAAATCACTGTCAATTAAAGTATTAAACCTCAAAGACAAAGAAAAATACAAATAAACCCCATTACAGACCAACAATATAAGAGTGAGGGGTAGGAGAGAGAAAAACAAACGAATCAAATACCCATCAACCTCTAACCAGTTTAAATAATACCTGAAACATCTCGACATATCTCTTAGCAAATCCCAGCCATGTTATTCCAAGAGCAGGAGCCGTGGGTCCATTCATGGTCAGTGGTGGTGGCAGCCGAGAGGGATGAAGCTAGGTGCTGCATTTCCAGTCCAATTTCGTCGTCTGTCACACCCGATGATTGCCCGTTTGAGATCTCACCGCTATCGCTGTACCACTCTGGGACTGACATGGTGGATGGGATAATATCGAGCAGGCCGGACAAGTCGTCGTCCACCACTGAATTGATCTCATCTATTCGTTCTCTCTTTGCCTTCACCCCTGCCGGAATCAGGTGCAAGCAACCCATTTTGGGGTGCATTAGAGTCAATGAATCAAACATGTAATAAGCAACTAGAGTTTCGAGTGCAGAATGCTAATGTATTAATTTTAGGACTCATAGGCGGAATTATTTCAATAAATAAAATGGTGGATCAACAAATAAGATTGTAGAGTTAATTGCGGTACAACTTGGAAACATAAAACAAAGACAAGATATGAACAGAAATACGAGGAAAACGCAAATGAAGGAAAGCAGATTTTTCGTTAGTTCCATGAATTGAAATTGAATTAAAACAGTGAACAGTTTTAAAATCTGCAGGTAATGGAAACCTAGCTACTATTTACAGGAGCCAACAGAAAAACATATAAAGAATAAGCTCACCAATAGATGAATGGCCAGTACTCGATTCTTCCCACGGGCTGACAGATACTAATGGAGGAGTGGTTGCGCCCTCGCTGAAAAGTGAACCAGAAGGCAGAGCATCACCAACCAATCCATTTAATCCACATTTGTCTTCTGACAACCCCTCCCTACTCGAATCTTCGACGCCTGCCGTAGCTTGGGCCTCCTGCAGCAGGGCATCCAATAAACCGCTATTGCTCCCGACGAGGGCGCCGACCTTGTAACCATTTGTGGCGCCCGAAGCGGCAGCTGAGGCTGCAGGCTGGGGCAGTTGGCTTGAAGGGAGCTCCATCTTCATGGAGAAGGCAGAACCAGGAGGAACTATGCCATCGGGGTCAAAAGGGGCTTGCAGAATTGGCGGTGGATTGAGCTCGAAGTTGCTGGAATTAAATTGAATAGAAGGTATTGGCTGCAACTGAGTCGAGAGAGACTGACTAAACAGAGAAGATGGAGGTTGTGGAGGAGGAGAAGGGAAGGGTATAGAGACCCCGACACCGTTGTTGTCGCGGAGCCGCTTGAATCGGTGCAATGGATCAGGGAGAAAAGAGGCACTGTGTTGACCAAGGATAGGGGTCGTCATAGGAAAACTCACAGAGTCAAAGAGGGAAAGAGGAGACCCATAATTCGGCTTCGGCTGCTGCGCCTGCGGTGAAGGAGATGGAGAAGAACGGGGCTGGGGCTGGTGCTGGTGGTTGAGGTGGTGGTATGCAGTCGCTTGCTTCTGTATGTCTTGGGGGTAGAGCGGTAACCCGGCGCGTTGGCGACGCTTGACTCTGGTGTTCCAGTAATTCTTGATTTCGTTGTCTGTTCGCCCGGGAAGCTATAATACATATAGATACAAGCACAGAGAAAGGTCAGAGAACTGCATATGAATTAAGAAAACAGAGACATAAAATCAGAGATTGAAGATGAATATCTGGATTGGATAGAAATAAAAAAAATATGCTGACAAGAAACAGAATGAATAAGGACAAAATGGGAATCACGAAAACATATTGAAACAATGAAAAGAAGAAAGGAAGACCGATCCATGAGCGGTCAAGCCAGAGAAAGAAACGGAGAAGAAGAAGAAGAAGAAGATGATGATGATGATGATGAAGATGAAACAAGGAAACGAACAAGACACAGAAATTGGTTAAAAAAAAACAGGAAGCAACGAGAAAGCATAGGAAAGCAAGAAGAGAAATACCTGAGCAGCCATGCGAGCCCATTTGTTGCCGAGCTTGGAATGAAGCTCGAGAATGAGACGCTCTTCCTCGGGGGAGAAGGAGCCCTTCTTGAGATTAGGTCGGAGATGATTGGCCCAACGAAGACGACAGCTCTTACCGCATCGAGAGAGGCCAGAGTTTTTCTGAACGGCATTCCAGTTGCCCTCTCCATGCTTCTTCACGTATTCAATCAGAATCGCATCCTCAGCAGCCGTCCAAGGCCCTTTCTTCAGGCCCCCACCGGCCCCACCGCCCGTCGACGCATCGTCGCTTGTAGCCGCAGCGCCGTTGTTGGGCGTCATCCGTCTGCCCCTCCCAAGCCCAACACCTCTGTTTTCTTTAATGCTCTGCTGTTGTTATTTCCCTTGTTCTCTTCTCTCTAGTGTACCTTTTAATTCCTGGGTTTTTTTGCCGTTTTCAGAGAATTTTCTCAATTTGTACTTGGAGGCTTATGAGATAGAGAGATTTCTCTCCCCTCTCTCTCTATCAGGGAGACAGACAGAAAATAGAGAGGAGAGAGAGAGAGAGAGAGAGAGAGAGAGTTGTATGTGGAGGGAGAAATGGTTGTGGGAATTGATGAGATTCTGTTTCTTATTTTTAAACTCTGTTTCTCTTCTATGTAGCGGGTTGATTGATACAAATTATTCAGAGATTTGAGGTTTAAGAATGTAATTTTGTTTCGTTTTCCTTTTTTTTTACTTTATATTCTTCGAAAAAAAGCGCAGAGAGAGAGAGAGAGAGAGGGTGTGGCCTGTGGGTGGGGGGACCAGGCGGAGGGCGGGGTGGGGTTGAGGAGTACTCTCTTCTGTGGGTGATGTGGGACCCACGGAACCCTCATTCCCAACACCAACAAATTTTAAGGACGGAGCTTCCATTTCGCTCCGGCTGCTCCTCCTCTACATGCTACGTGTACGTGGTGCTGCCTTTTACGCGTTTTCTTCTCTCTCTTCCTTCCCCACTCAAATATCTTTTTCTTTTTTTTTTTTTTCCAAATTCAATTTTGTTAGACCTGTTTCAAAGTCCCAGGACCCGGACTAATAAAGACTAAAGTCTAAACCGGATTCTTCATTGTAACCCTCAGTTCAGGGTCAACCCAATTCCTAATAAAGTTTGTCCGACTCCGATTCATTACGTTGCCACTTGCTTTGTTGCTTCAACCTACAGCCTACAGCCTAGTAACCCACCCACCCTTTTTAGCTGGTTCTTGGCCGGCCAATTTCAACCCAAGCAATTATGATCCAGCTGCGCTGGTGCATTTTCTGACCTTGTTTTTACGGGCCAGGACATGGCGTTTCACAGGTTACCACTTACCCAAGAGGTAGAGGACGATCCTAACCATCTGATTCTGATACAGTAAAAGGACCCATGAAAATGTAGTATAAATCAGTTCCATTTTCAAGAAATCTTATGCAAGATCGTCTGGCCAATAATGGCCACGGCCCACAGACCGGAAGTCCTGAGTCCGGACCCACTTTGTCCTGTCTACTTGTACTACATAGCACACATATTTTGCGTCCTGACATGCTAAAAAGTAAAAACCACAAGAACCTAAAGCGGTGGAAATGGGTCGGGTCAGATCCAGATATGACGCAATCTTACCATTTCTTTCCGTATTGGCGTCGGGTCATTTGATGAATCTTCTCTCAACTAGTTATAATTATGGGTTACTAAAACATGTAATTTCATTAGTTCATTCCTCCACACTTACAATTAGATACATCAAACCAAAGCCACATTGTTTACCAAGTGACATACTACTCAAATTGAAAATAAGCTCTTGAACCCTTAGATTTGCTCCATCTTTTAGGCTTTCATGATCTCTTTTCTAATGAACTGATCAGATGACAAAGGATTTTTCTTACCACTCACGGCTCACCATCAATTAGGCCTCACCTAATTTAAGAGACCCAAACAGAGTAACAATTTTGTGGTTGGAATAATTTGATTTGTGTGGTTATTGGCATTCGCTGTCTATAATGTGGTGTTATGTACCATTCAATGTTTGCCCCTGATACTCTCTACATATGGGTTTGGAATTTGCTCTTCATCCTCCTCATTGTAACCACTAGAATGCCTCTCCAGTTGTATGCACAGTTAATTTTGGTTTGCTTGCTAAGGATTAATGAATAGAGAGTGTGTAATCACAGTTAACAATTGAGTAGATAAAATTGATGAAGTGGGTTGTTTGGGGCCGAGGGATCAAGGTTTTATATGTTGACCCAGAACCGGCTATCGGTTTCTGTGTAATCACAGTTAATAATAGAATTAGCGGTTTGATCGTATTCCAACTTAAAAAATAAAAAAAAAAAGATAAAAAACTATTGAATATATCGACAGTTTAATCATCCGGATCAAGAAGTTGTTAACAAATTAAAGATTTTTGGCCAAATACCAGGTTCAAGGTGAAACGGAATCCGTTGGCTGGATGAAAATTCTGGTCTGATCAGATTTTCAAAACCATGCGAGGGACATAAATTATCTTTTCTTTTATCTTGGAAATGAATCACGTAATATTTTCCCTTCTCCTTTCTTTCCCCGTTTGATTTTGATTGATTTCGATGTTCTGAAAGACTGAAACCCCATCCTTTCATCAGCTTGTAAAAGGCACATGGTCACGGGTTGAAAGGTGCGACCACTGATTCAACTGGGTCGAACAACTAATTATAATATAATTATAATTCGAATTAAATGTATTAAAAACATAAAAGTTAATGGTAAATTCTTCGACGTCACAATGAATTACTATGATTTTCTATTGTAAATTAGTAAAGCATGTTTGAGCCTAAGAGCAATGAAAGCAACCACCACAAATTAAAAATAAAAAATAAAAAAATCCGGGCCCATGAATAACTATCCAGTTTTCATGGGATTACTGGACTTTGGGATTAGGATTTTGACAGGTAAAGAGACTGGTTCAAGAGTTTTAGGTTAAGCCTTTATTGGGTTTAAATTCATTGGACACGAGAGAAACTTTTGCAAAGTTTTACTTTAGGTGGGGAAGAGAAGAGGGCTGGTCCACATAGCCCTTTAGCTCCTTTATCACAAACCACTGACATTCTTTGCATAAAACAAGCTTGCTCAAAGACAAATTTATAGATGGGTTTCTAACAACTATAGATGGGTCCAAAGATCTAACATAAAAAAGGACTGGGTTGAATCCAAGGAAAAATGGAAGAGAAAAGTAGAACATCCCAAAAGAGAAGTTGTGTGGGCCAAAGAATTGAACATAAATTGGGCTCCACATTAAAGTTAATCCTCTAAATGAAGCGGTTGCAATTTGCAAAGCTCCGGTCAGTAGCCGGCTAGCCGCCACTCGGCCCAGCCCAGTGTCATTTGGAGCAAATCGTAATATCAGGACACAGATGTATTGTGGATAGAGACAAGTGACAACTGAAAACCAAGGTTTTAAAATTGATGATTAGGTGATATTCTAAAATTAATCACTTTTTTTTACTATGGATTAATTGTTTATAAGTAGGGGTGAGCAAGAAAATGCAGTTAACCGAATCAGTTGGTTTAATTTTGGTTCAGTATTTTAAAAAAACTGAAAGTACTGGTTTGATTTCAGTTAATCCATATAGAAAAACCGATAATTAACCAAATCAATCGATATACATATATTTTAATATAGTTTATATATATTGTAAATATAAAAAAACCAAAAAATAGATGAACCGAATCAATGGACGGTTAATCGATCAATTTCAGTTCAATTTTGATTATCGAATTTCTAGAAACCAATAGTACCAATTCGATTTAAAACATAAGCCCACAGTTCGGTTACCCCTATCTATACTGACCGAAGAAAACAAAATATGTTAATGCTAAGTTGGTTGAAGTGAAAAAGATACATGTATATACATTCGATGCATTAGGATTTAGGCATGTATCTATGAAAAACTAAAAGGAATATTCAATCGAACAGTTCATTACCAGCATTTTTATATGTGCCCTATGGAGCCAAAAGAGACAATGTCAATTAAGAAACAATATGTTCAAATAAATATTTGAGGATACAGTAAATAGTAATCAACTCATATTGAGTTTCAGTCATTATGGAGCTTGCAATCTCTTGTATAAAACTTGCAGCTCATCTTTCAGTTAGAATGGATCTCAGTGATACCAGTGGGTGAGGCTAGTGGTAAGCCCAAATTGACCAGGGTTAACCCTTTAGGGTGGGGGCAGCCTTAATCGGGTTTTGGGTTGGGTTGTTGGAACAGGGATGCTTCTGGCCCATGCCAGGCCCGACCTGTTGGCATTGTAGCATTACAATATTTGTAAAGATAACATTGAATATAGATGTACTATTTAAGGGACGATTTGGGTTAGGTTCGCACTTCCGTTTCATTTAACCGCTGATTTGAGGTGAATTATATATGGAGAAGCACAGACTGGTCCAATGTAGATTTTTTATTTCTACTAGAATTATAAGTATTTAAAATGGCAATAACCCACATTTTATGCATCAACGTTCATATGTGAATTGGTATCAATTCCGAGTTGGTACCTATCCCAATAGTACTCTGTGCCTATAAATTCTGATTCTGGGCTGAATCGTTTTTCTCCCAATTATATATTTATATCATGAATACCCAAACTGATTTGAATTTAGGTTAAATTTCAGATTAGTACTCTGAAATCTGTATTTTGGGTCTAGTATCATTTTGGTATCCGAATTTTAAAATGTGCTAATCCGGTATCTGAATTTCTAATTTTTTTCAGTTAAGTTCAAAATTATTAACCATTATTAAGCGTCATATGAAAGGATGTAAATAGCTTTCGAGTATCATCTAATATTAATCAATCATCCAAATGCCAAATCCAAATGTCCTTCGGATTGTTCACTATTGCTTTGGTTCAATTTTGATTTGAAGAAGAATATGATGAATAATATCTTACTTGAAGGATAATTATGACATTTTCAAAGTCGCATATGACATCATATGATATAAATAACTGTAAAACTAAACTATAACATTTTGGGAATTCAGGTACTGGATTGACCCGTTTTAACATTCAGGTAACAAAGCGAAACTAGCCCAAAGTACAAATATAATATGATATACAAAACAGAGCTTAGACAAACTTTTCAAGATATTTGATGATATTTTATGATTTTGTTTTTTGTTTTTTTTTTCTCTTGGAAGAATTTCTTCTCTTTCTACTATTATACATAATTTACAAAACCAAATATGGCCCAGTTTACCTATTGGGTGGGTGAAAGTGAAACGCAGTCATAAGGCCATATGGTGAATGGATTCGTGGTGAAGGAATCCTCTTCCTCTGTCCACTGCCATTCTGGGTGAAATTGGGACAACAAAACCACGAGGGCTGCAGAAAAGAATCTTCCTCTGGCAATATCTCAATTTACACCGGGCAATAAACAATAAAACAATTGCCAGATCTGTTTAAACTCCAAATATTATTATTATTCATATGAATCAGATCGGATATCAGAGGGACCAGATCATGTTTCCAATTAATTATTAAATAATGTTACTTTCCCCTCTCAATGTCTGAATTAAGATAGCTTGGCTAAATTCTTTTCCCATGTTTTAGTATATGGTGTCAACATTCTTCGTTCCAAAGCTAACGAATAGAGACCAAAAACTTAATATTGATTAATCAAAGCAACACAAGCGACAGTTGAGGTTTCCGTTTCACTCTTCCTACATTCTCTGCTCTTTTTT